ATTTTCCACATGTGAATGATAATTTAACGCTCTCTCTCCTCCTTTGCATCGAAATTAAATTTAGTGCTTTGAGTTGAGCCACTGCCAATAGTCAAGATGTATGTTTGTGTTTGACATGAGGCAGCTCATACAGACTCTCATTCCCCTGGTGAACTAGTAGCTCAAACTTATCCTCATGTAAAACCATGTTATTACGTTTGGCCCAAGCAATAACATGGTCGAGATCTTGCTGAGGAACGATAACAGATCCTGTTTTGTATACATTAAAGTCACTATTGTGACGGTACATTAGAACTAGACAGAAAGAAAGTGTGAAGGGCCTATAGAATTAGAATTAGAATTAGAATTAGAATTAGAATTAGAATTAGAATTAGAAATTAGAAAGATCATTACAAAATTACATGTGTCAGATCCCAATCAGTTAAATGAAAGTTACACAACCAAACAACAAAAAAACATAATATCTTAAATAAATAATTAAATGGTTTCAAAGTGTGCACGAAATAAGGATACTAAGTCATAGCTTACTTTTAGGAAATCTTTCACGAAATAGATTATAAACAAAATTTTTGGTCTCCAAAATGTAATCCTCATTAAATAATTTACTGAATTGACTATTTGTGAGTATGTTGTGAAGGTCTGTGCTGTTTCTTTGTCTGATCTCCTTGTAGACAGGACATTCTTTAAGCAAATGGACTTCGTCTTCTTTAATGATGTCACTAAACGGGAGCTCGTTCAGGAGGTCTATGGTGATTCTGTCTGAGCTGCAGCAGAAGTGGCAAGTTTTGTAGAAGATGCTTGAGTTTGAGTATATATGTGCTTCAGTATACGGCCGGTGTCATCAGCAAAGAATCTTATAATTGAACCAGTCACACAAAGCTTCATGTCATTTATGAAGAGTATAAAAAGGAGGGGTCCAAGGACGGTTCCTTGGGGGACACCACTGATAACCAAGGCTGCGAAGGAAGACACCCCGTTCAGAACAACATGTTGATGACGGTCCGACAGAAACGACTCCAGCCACTTAAGAAATCCATTGGCCGCAAAGTTGTCTTAACCAAGAAACGCCCGATCGAATGTGAGTAAGCTGATTTCAATGACCACCATCGCGTGACCTCATGGGACTCAAAAACGTCAAAAATCCTTAAAAAGCTTCTTGTGTCGGTCGCGGTAGATCGATTTTTTCTGACGGATCTGTCTGTATACTACACTTTGAAATCCTCTAAATGATGGAACGAGGTAAAACTTGAAAACGAATAAGAATTGAATTAAACCTATAGCAGTGGTTCTTTGGGCGAGTGTGTGCGGGGGGACAGTTACCGGAGCAGATATCTTATCAGTTAATTGAACCTGTCAACCAGGTTAATAACTCTAGTTTTTACTCGTGTCTGATGTGATTTTAAAATATTATCCACTCGTTATGTAGGTTGCGTGGAAACGGAGGAACTTTTGCAGGGATTTAAAGGAAGGATGACTTGTATTAGTGATTAGTTAAAATACTGATAATATTTAATGATTACACTCATTATAATTAGTTAAAATACTCATAATAATAATTAATGATAACCAAACATCTGTGTCTAGTGATACACTACACCAGAATCCGGCATGCAATTGAACATACTTTTCAACATCATGTAAAAAAAATTTACTCATATAAAATAAATCTAATAATCAAAATAAATTCACTCATCAATTACATCATCAAAAAATATAATAAATTCAAGCTAAATAAAAATTGTTTGGTTATTGATAACGCAAATAACCTATATATGCATGCAAATAACCTATAATATGCAGGTTTAAATCAATAAATCACTTTTTGCAATGATTGTGCGTCTAAAATAAACTCAAGCTGAGTAAAAATAGTAAGGTTATTGATAACGCAAATAACGATATGCAGGTTTGCATCAATAAATTACTTTTTGTTGCAATGATTTTGCGGCTAAATATCATCGCATACACATCATTAAAAAGTTAAAACATATGACACCGAATTTCATTCTTTTTGAGTCCAATCAACAATTTGTTTGATATAGTATAGTTTCATGATATAATTTGAGCTGTTGATGAGGAACTAAAGGCTTCTCGCCGATTTCATTCAGAACCTCCTCAACGGTTAAATTTTAAGATTTTACTTTCGTAGTTTCCCTCGATTTTTGTTTCGCAAATATCTTGTCAGAGAACCTGATTGTAGCAAGTCCTGATATTTTGAATTCCTCAGAGAAGCGCACTGTATACTCAGTCCCTGACTCTATTGTTTCAGTTTCTGGGATGACTTTTCCGTTTTTTATATCGGCGGTTTGTCACAAGGATTCTCAGTGCAGGTAGGCAATGATGATAATTGCCCAATAGTGGGATCCAGATAAAGTAAATCCCTGTTTAGTTTTACATGTTACTTCATAGTTTGATCCGGAGTTTATTGTTCCTGATACATGACGTCCATTGTTCCGTTTTGTACACTTGGTTTTACTACTTTATTTACTACAAGACGCTGAAACGAATACACAATGTTTTTCTTTAATTTGAATCAGTAAAGCTCCAATAAAATGTTCGAATCTCTTGATTTTAATTACATTTATCTTGCTATGACCGTATTAAGCAATGCAGTGAGTGGCAGAAAGTGGTTAGATTCCTATTTCCCAGGTTGTCAATCCGACCACAAAAGACAATGCTGCATATAAAATTTCTCATCTGTTCTGGTTCCTAAAGATAGGAAAAGTTTGGTAGCATAGAACTTTAGTCAGTGAAATTAAAATTTGCCGTGGCCGTATTGGCGAATTGCTTCGTATACCAGAAATTTATGACTTGTTCTGGCTTTAACAAAGACAGCAAAAAAGAGTGCACCTGCAAAAATTGGGCGGAATAGAAATTCTATACGTAAATTATACGTAAATTTAAGGTTCTTCTTGCAGTCATGAACAGCGATGCTTACTCACTCATGCTTTGTTGGAGGGAAAATGCACGTGCTAAATCAATAACCGAACAGTACTTAGATTGTAACCTCGCCCACCAGGATGAAATATATCTATTGAACTGGAGGGTAAACCGTAGTCAGATGGCTGATAAAGAAACACGAGTAGGCAAAACACCTGTACCCTGGGTTATTGTCTGAAATAGATCTTGAGTAGTCAGGTCACGAAAAAAGTTATTAGATCATGAGCCTGTTTCAATAGCCGGACTCAAAACAACAATTGGTGAGTGAATTTGTAAAGCCGGCATGTGCAGCTCCACTATACTTTTTGTCTAACTTGCTCGACTGGAACAAGATTGAAAGGGTTTTCATTAGCGAACATATGAGCTCTAAAAATTGCACGTGCTAGAGCATTATTCTAGAAACGCCCACCAGGATGAAATATATCTATTGAACTGGAGGGTAAACCGTAGTCAGATGGCTGATAAAGAAACACGAGTAGGCAAAACACCTGTACCCTGGGTTATTGTCTGAAATAGATCTTGAGTAGTCAGACGAAAAAAATTATTAGATCATGAGCCTGTTTCAATAGCTGGACTCATAACAACAATTGGTGAGTGAATTTGTAAAGCCGGCATGTGCAGCTCCACTATACTCTTTGTCTAACTTGCTCGACTGGAACAAGATTGAAAGGGTTTTCATTAGCGAACATATGAGCTCTAAGAATTGCACGTGCTATAGCATTATTCTAGAAACGAACCAAAAAAAAAAGCACCTGCAAAAATTGGGCGGAATAGAAATTCTATACGTAAATTATCCATACGTGTCGGGTCTCTTGGTTTGATATTTGGGCTTAGCCCTGAGAGTTTTTCTTTCTGGGCCGGGGAAGGACTTTGATGCAAATTTCTTTTACAATTTTCGAGGATTGTGATTGATTATTTCACCTCTTTTAGTATTGAATAATTAAACAGGGGTTCGAATAAAATTTTTGACGCGAATTAAATAGGTAATAATTATTTTAGACATTTAGTTAGACTTAGAGTTAGACGGGTTCCTGCTAGCATAATTAACGAACAATATTTTAAAATATGGGGCAAAATTTCGGTCTCATCAAATGCTGTTTGAAGCAAGAAACTTACATTTTTTTCTTCCATTTTCTGAAAGTTGAGTCTATTACTATTAGGCTAGATTTCCTTAAATTTCAAATTACAATGTTAATGTCTGATCCAATATAAAAGGTAAATTTAAAATATAAATTCGTATTTATTCCTTTTCTTTTCAGTAAGCTCATGACGACATAAAAATGCAGAGCCTCTCGTTTTTGGTTTTTACAGCTTTTTGTCTGGTTGTCAGTGATGCAGCGGATCCGCCAATCAATGTCGAACCAGGTTATAATATTACTTATATATACGACATTAGCACTTTATTAAATATTTTGCGAAATAAGAATCAAATTTCATACAATTTTATACAATGACAAATGAAGTATAAAAATTGAGCGTACCAATAATGACCTTTGATTTATTTCCTCTGTTGCGCTATCATATCACCGATCTCACGTGGCATGATCATACATGAAGGAAGTTAGTCGAATTTCTCGTTAGGGTTTTAGCATATGCGTCGGTTACGGATTGTGTTAGAGTTAGGGTTGGGGTCAGAGTACTAGTAGAGGGTTAGGGTTTTGAATAATCTTTCTATCCAGGGCCATTTTGATCTAGAGAACGTGTTATTCTAGTGTATTAATCATCATACTACAAAAATAAAGAGGACTATACAGATTAAACAACTTAAAACCTGATAAAATAACGACGAATACACCAAGGGCGACTTAACTTTTAAACTACTTATAGCACAATTATTTAAACACAATTATATATACCATATTCTGTATTTCGTGGTAAACTTATGCATAAATCAGTTTACCACAAATATACACGTGTTGTGTGGATATCTTTATTCCTTCGCTATGAATATCGCACTATAGGCTAGGTGTCAAAATGTTTTTGTCGTGTGTCTTAAAAAATAAAAACACCAATATTTCAGATCAATGGCACGACAAACCGTTCCTGCGAGATGTCAACATTCCCAACCAAGCGGATGTATATATGAAGACTGATCTGGCGATTGGAAGTGGCAAAGATTTGAGAATCAACTATAATGAAAACAATGCTGACTTTGAAAACATGGGATCTTTCGTATTAAAATTCTCAGATCCACCAAAGTATGGTTTCCTTTTGTGTACGGACTTTATGAAGCCAAGTCAAGACCTTCCTGTTGATTTGCCCGCTAAAGATGATGATGGCTTTAGGATCTTCAAAGTAGAAATGCATGGAACAAATGGTTTGAAGATCAGTTGCAACGATGAGTTGCTGATCACTTTCGAACCCTCCGACGCAGTGTGCACGGGATGGTCGTCTTTTTGGAGAGATACGTGGGAAAAAAACAAAGAGGTGATAAGCTTTTCCTTTGACGAAGGAGTAAGAAAGTACAAAATCTCAAGTTCGGAATCCGCAGGTAAGAAATAGTCAAATATTGATATATATATTAACTTTTCTATTCGTCCCTATATCAATATGCCTCACCAAAAGAGTGATGATTAATCACTCTACTACGGAGCTGAGTAACATGGGGATTATAATGGTAATACAGGTAATTAGGGGGGGGGGGGGGCGTGGTCAACAGTTTTTAGTACAAAGCTTTATTCGAGGACATTTGAGGGGGAAGGGGGTGTCTACATGGAAATAGCCGAATTTATTGGAGGACTTCGCCGATTCGACGCGCAAACTAGCATTCTTGTTTCGCATCGAAGATGGTTGCAGAGCAACGATCTGGAAGGGTTGACATCGTCAATCAACCGAATTTATAGCTGGTCAGTGGTCAAAGGTCAGCGCTTATGAGTGATGAGTATTAGTTATTGTATTTTAGGTGTTCGAAATGATATTTAGATTCTAGATGAATATTTGATTTGAATTATTTCGTCCTTTACTAAATTCGAATGCCATGGCCCCCCCCCCCCCCCCCCCCCCCCCCCTTTAACCCGTCTGCACTAAAGTAAGTAGTTTGAAAGGTGCTTAGCAATTGGCTGGATATCTTAAGTATAACAACGATTTCGGCTCATCATGATCAGGGTAGCATGAAACTTAAAGAAAAATTATTTCCAGAAAAAATTCAAAAAGGGGGGGTCAGGCCATGATTACGTAATATTGCTGTCAGGAGGGCGGTTGGGTCTTGATTACGGTTGATTACGGAGGGGGGGGGGGGGGGAGAGGGGGGGTAAAAATTGCTTAAATATTGATTACGTAATATGTGAACGATCCCTAATCAGTAATTTTGCCCTGTTTTGCATCTTAAACCTGAGGCAACATCTTAATTTGTCTTACCTGGGGACCTCAGGCTATTATGTTCATAAACGAATAAAGATTCGGCGGAATGACAGGCTGAGCGCGGCGGCCCAGTAACTTTTGTCTGAAATCTTTTGGATGCTATGAATGCGAAGGTTGGGAACTGTGAAGCTTGAAATAATCCATATCCTACTCACCTCGCGGGCGGAAGTGTCGTATTGCGTATAGCACTCGTTAATTCATTTCTTCAAAACAGAGTGGTGGACTGTGGATGTGTCCTACCAAAACTGTACATTCTGAACTTTTTATAGCCTACCTGTAAAGAGAACTGTTTACTGTTATTCATATCACTCGAGTGTCGCTCATGGTGCCGCACATTATTTTTTTTAATAACACCTTTTTAAAGAAAAATATACTGCTTTGACGTACATGGAGCGTAAATTGTTAACTTTTACAAAGCCTTTTGAAGCATTTTATTTTGTCCATATTTATTCATTAATTGACAATGTGAATTAGTTCATATTTCCCCAATAAGTGCTTTTGATAAGCCCGGTTCTTAATCTGTTGCATTTTCAGACTATCCAGCGTGCGACGGCCTCAGCATAACAGGAATAAACGCGAGGAGAGTATCCCCCTTTGCTTTAAAGTACGAACATGGTGATAAAGCAACAATATTTTGTGCTACGAACTACTTCATTTCCTGGGGTACATCAATAGATGATGTCGAAGGAAACATTGAGTGTTACGCCGGTAGTTTTGTTCCTGATCCCGCTGTAGGTGGTGTCAGTACAGTTGGCTGTGTTGGTAAGTGCATTTGATAAAGACAATCCATGAAAGGGCCTTGAATAGATTGTTGTTTCCCAAATACATTTCAGTTGTCCTAGTTTGTTGGATATTAAATTTAAATTAAGATATTTTATAATATAATCTGATAAAAATTGTATCCTTCAGCCTGTGCTGATAATGTAGCGGACTGTGTAGGTGGAACATGCACAGAATACGGAGAGTGCCTATGTAACGATGGTTATGAGAAGTCTAACACTGATCCAAGACTGTGTACCAGTACATCTGTTCAGTGCGATGCGTTTGTTCTCTCCAATCAAGAAGCTAGTGCGGACGGACCGTATAATGTAGACGATGTGGTCACTGTCACATGTACAGATGGATATCATGTCTCAGGAGGACCTAAAGATGTGGATGTACAAACATTGACCTGTCTAAACACAGGGTATTTTGACGAAACCCTTGAAGATTGTGTCGGTTAGTGAAAAAATACTAAAAGTAAAATATGTATACAATAATAAAATTAAATATATGCTTTTGATTTAGCGATTGACAGTTTAATGCTACCAATTTATTCGAATAGCTTAAAATCGGTCACTCGTTTAGAAGTTATTTTATCTTCATTCAGTGTGTGCTGAAGATGATGATTGTACGTTTGGACAATGCAATAGTAACAATATATGTGAATGCGATGCAAGTGCAGGTTACAAGCTGGTAAGACTAAGTGTATTTTTGAGAGACCTTGTGAAATGAAGAGTCACCACAAATTTCGTTTTTAATTTTCTTTGTGGGTAATTTTTCAGCAGTCCACACTGCGAAGATGTGCTGTCCGAAATTTGAGTTCAATAAATTCGCCTAATCATCAATTCACTATATAATTTTAGAAAGAAGATTATTTGAACGTCTGTGAGGAGGTTACTTGTCCTGAAAAATACTGTTCATATGGGGGCGAGTGTTCTGTTAAAGATGTTGAACTGGAGTGTGACTGTCCACAAGGAACAGAAGGAGATACATGTGAACAATTTACATCGTAAGTAAAGATTTATACATGGTGGTGATTGAAAATTGATATTCAATATAATTCATGTTATTCAATAACCACCACACACCAAGTATTCATTTTATTGAATAGCGTTGATTATTGTAAATTTCGAGACTTATACAATTTTTATTTCATCTAACTTCTAATAGTTGCAATCACTCTTCGTAATATTTTTTGTTTCATATTTAAGTTTTGTAAATAAAATCGTTAAAACAGCAATTAACGATGTTTTTATTAAATTTCAGAACTCCCTGCGACCCAGATCCCTGTGAAAAGGGTGAAACATGTAGCCGTGTTACGACTGACCCTGCGGACTACACAAAACATGAGTGTACTACAGCTGCTTGTGAGGGTACTTTTAATGGGGACTGCTGCCAAGTTGTTATACAGTTTCATGATGGTGCAATATGTATGTTTTAGTTTCGGAACATGAACATATTCTTAGTTAATATATAGTTAGAAGTAGTAGAAACTCGTAGTATATAAAACTAGAAACGGGAAACCCGCTAGTTGAAAGTTTTATTCGAGGAAATTTAAAATCAGTTATGTTCTAGTTTCTTTTCATCCTTAATATAAAATGTATGAGTTTTTATTCGACAATGACAACGAAGTTTAAAGTATTCCCTGGACGTCATCATTATCTCAAATTCATTGTTAAACTTAATAAAATTGATTATGGGTTTTGGTCAAATAATTATAATTGAAAATGGGACATTTAATTTTAAGAGATTTTAAATTTTCCAAATCTGTCTCCGATTTGCTTCCAGTGCACAGTACCTCAACTTGTTTATAATAAACTCACTAATTTGTCACTTCCGACAAAATTGTTTAAAAGCATTGACATTTCGGTCAATGGTCAAGGAAAACTGATATTTATTTATTCCCGGTGACTCATTTTGATTTTTGGCGCTGCCTCCGGGATTCTGAACGTCTGTCATCATGGGAGGCCGACTTCCAGGCCCCCTCATTATTAGGGGGCCAGGGAGATCAGATCATGTCACTAATTAGTGACGTATAATTAGTGATGTGATCCATCAGTAGAATTTAACTGACTTAGAAATGGGCTATATACAGGGTAGAATTCACATGTACATCATAGCATGGCAGTTCATTAAGAAGTAAACATGATCTTTAAGATTTGACTGCTCGACTCGTATATCACATAAGGGATTTGATTAATTATACTACGAAAAAATGTGACTTGTTAATTTAAATCAAAAGTAAGGGGTAAAAAAAGATGTAGGGTAGAGTTCACATGTTCTGTAAATCGTAGCTGGTGGATCACGTCACTAATTATACGTCACATCACTAATTATACGTCATATGATCTGACCCCTAATAATAGGGGGGCCTGGAAGTCGTGCAGCCGTCATCATATTCATAAGTTTTTGACAGACGTCAGACATCTGTTAGTGTTGACTGTTGAGGCTCAGCTTGAAGTGTATACTGCATACTGGTATCGATTAAGATTAACATATATTTCAAATTTTCAGCTGATTTTGATAAAATAACATCGGCGTGATCAATTATTTTAGTTTCAACGGCTGCACCCCGTGACTTTTTAACTAAAGATAAGATACGTATATTTTAGGACATTTGTAATATGATAAAATTTAAAGTTTTGGTGTGTGAATTAAAGCTTGGTGTGAGAATTAGTGTGGAAATAAAAGAGATGTTTATTCTATTATTATTTATATCATGATTGATTTTGGACACGAAGGGAAACACACAAATTTGGCTTGGAAACTTCGTTTATTACATCGCTAGAGCCTACAAAAAAGAAATAAATTAGTCAGATAAAATCAATCATAATACTCAGTCAAAGAGATTCAAAAATTTATAAAAAGGTCATGATTAGAGAATATCATGAAAGTCGATCAGAAATTGGAATACGATAAAATTGTTTCACTGATAGCGTGGTAGATAAAATTTATAAAGAAAAATGACGCAAAATTGGCACAAAATTGTTAAAATTAATTAATTACAGATATTGGTAAAAACCACAAAAAACTACCTTTTAATTTCCATCCTATTTAAACCCCAAACATTAGTTCTAAACTTTGCACAAAATCTAGCCTCTTCCCTATCTAATAGGGAAGGTTTAGTCTTTTTCACAATCCCGAATTTGAAACAGTCAAAACTGAAAGTGTCCTTGTGTACATCGTAACAATGCATTGATAAGGCTGAGTGCTCGTAGAGGGCACGGTCGTCAATGTTCCCAGGAAACCTAACCGTTAGGGGCCTAACTTCGGAAGTAAAAAAGATAGAGACTTCCGGTTTTTTGCAAAATGTTCGTCTTGTAAAAATAACGTTACCTCCCCAGGAGGAAAATTGGGGCTTCTCATTTTAAAAAGTTATTACAGAAAAACTGTTATTGATGCTGCGCGCAACAAGCTAGAAAAATAACTTTGCAAAATAAACCCGTTGTTATGCGTGTGACGTCATCATGCATGACCATATTTGGAAATGCGCGTGAAGATAAGTGATAAGAGTACGTATTTTGCCGATCGCCTGCAGCACTTATTACGAAGTAGTTTCCAAAACTGTTATAGTCTTTTCTGTCCATTTTGTTGCTTTGGGATAATCAAGTGGATCCCATTAATTTTAATTGAAGTGAACACTGTTTTGAACAAAATTGAAAGCGTCTTTCGATTAAACAAATGTACAATGATTTCACATCTGAATGAGTAACTATCCAGCTGCTCAGTAGTTCTTATCTTATGTGCTGAAAGTTCATACTACACTCGATGAACTTGCTGTGCACTGGTAACAGAATATTTAGAACTTTTGACTCAAACACAAAACATCTGGCTCGTAAAATTACACAAACAAACATTATATGAAGACCGCCTCTCTCTTCGCAATGATTACGTAATGTAAATGGCCCGAGGCCCCAAACATCTGCTTTCAGGGCCTACATGACAACGCTAAAATTTAAATAATAAGAGCAAGATACACCAATTACAATAAAACAGCTGAGAGTCGTTCCGATCATATGTTAAGACATCACTTTTCAGCCTATTTTAGCTCCCTTACTCCCTATATAACCAGTTTTACAGTTACAAGTTAGTTATTGTGTTAAAATTACACAAACGTTATCATATAAACACCGCCTCTCTCTCCGATTGGGCTCCGATTACGTAATGTGAACGGCCCCAAACATCTACTTTCAGGGCCCTACAACGCTATAAATAATTTAAATCATAAGAAAGCAATTCCTTACACCCCAGTTCCACGGCCGGATATTATGCCAAATTATTAGACGAAGATCGTCTACTGATATTTCTCCGGTTTGCAGTTCCATGACCGGAGACCATCTACGGTAATTTTGTTGATTCTGTATGATTATGTATGAATTAATCTCCGAGAAATTCCCGGAGAGCTCAGAGCTTAATCTCCGTCTAATACAGTTGACGGAGCCGGAGAATCATCTCCGGAGATGATCTACGGGAAATGGACCTCCGTCTAATAATTTGGCATAATATCTGGCCATGGAACTGGGGGGTTAAACCAATTCTAATAAAACAAATATTTATAGGTTACTCATTTGTTTCACATTTCAAAACAGCTCGATCCAATCCGGTGAGTAAGTTAGAATGTTCTGTCTTTGCAGATATATTTACGCTACAGTTCCTTCAGTTTATTCAGACGAATGTTGAAAATGTTCATGATCTTTAAGTAGACTCCCTGAAAAAAATTTGGGTAGACATAAATAATACATAATATCGACAATACAACCAAAAAGAAAATATGCGCGTATGTGCGCGCGCTTTCTGTTTTACTTAACTGACGCTATTTGCTTTATACATCATAAGTAGTCAAAAACTTGCTAGAACAGTAGAAGAATGTGAATTAAGCTATCTCTTTTTATATGGAATGGCTGGAAAAGGGTGTCACCTTGACATAGAGGCACTGTAAGATTCAGGGCCGCGCGCGTCTGTTATAGAATTCTTAATTTAAGATCATATTAATACTTACGTGTTTTTGACGATTGCAGTGAAGGATAGAAAACATTTGGCAAGCTGACAGAGAAACATAACTTCCCTTCCATCGGACACCGGTCCAAAATGAAATTCTTATCCTCATCTCAAATGAAGTTTTGGTGTATTTAAGAGATGGAACTGTCACCCTTCGAATTTCTGTCTGAAGTTAAGATAACATTATTATAAATAACATAATCACCATTTGGGACAGGTGCTAACTATTAAACCACCAAAACATGTCTCACCTACCCCGGAACAAAAATCCACTACACACATCAAGGAAACGTGCTCTCAGAGATAGACATAACTTACCTTTCGTACAGGGAAAGCTGGACACCGGTCCTAATTCTTATCCTCATCTCAAAAGAAGTCTTGGTGTACTTAAGCGAAGGAACTGTCACCCTCCGAAACACTGTCTGAAGTTAAGATAAGATTATTTTAAATAACATAATCACCATTCAAAAAGGGATATGAAATATTAAACTATATTCCAAGAATCGGAAAAAATGACAATTTTGTTGTAATTTGATTTGAACGTTCTCAATGAGCATAGAACAGAGCTGATAGTCAGGTGATGTCATATTCACGTTAAAATGTTACTAAACAGACTTAAAACTGAATGAAAATCACCTTGTATTGTACAAAATATGAACGTAGTTGTGGCAAAGTCAGATTTTCTCTACGATATAACCAGGAAGGTGAGGGGTACTGAGCTGGTACTCAGAAGACTTACAGTACAACCAGTTGTAATCTTGTAGGAACATATCAACACAGTTCAATTCTGCACTCACACTTAAAATACAGTTAAAATATTTTAAAATAAAATAAGGTATAGTCTGCTAATACAAAAATTGTAGCTGGAAAAATAACATACTGTAAAACATCAAGCTTGTAGATGATGTTTTACAGCATTAAATGAGCAATGGCAGGGAATATATTTCTCGAGCGAATGTTCTAAGAGCAAAATGTTAATTCGATTACTGTGAAACGTGAAAATAAGGATAAACTCCCTGCCATTATCCCACAAACGGTTAATCATAGCCAACAAAATCTGCATCACCCACTGCTTACCAACGAGGAGGTCTTACCTATTAAAGCAGCATCAGATATTTGTTATGTTTTTACAAATGATTTAAAACGTTACAAAATTATGATTCTTATAATTACAATAACAGACGATAAAATAATAATAAAACGAGACACTGACCTTTTCCAGAAGAAAACAAGCTTAACATGATACTTTTACTACACCAACTAAACTTTACCCTGCATTTATTTAGCAACTACTTCCCAACTACTTTGTAAAAATGTAAGTTACTACATCAAATCCCTTCCCTATCTTTCATAACTAAATTTGGTAGCTCATTTCCTTCCTGGTGTGAATTCCAAGGCAGTCATTGAGCCAGCTCTACACTATGATCCACAATCTAGCCTAATGCAGTGTTTTTCAACCACACAACTAGCAGGATCGAATAGGTGAGCTTAACTCAATGAGTACTTCATGGCTCCTCACACAACAGTCAATTTCTCAATCTTTCTCTCAAAAATAATGTTAAAAATGTATATAATAAACAAATAATTTTCGCAACTACTCTTTTTGGATTCAAAAACATGTAAACATGTTTTGCTCGACAAATTTTCGTTGAATTTTGTTGAATTTAGTCAAGATAAAAATATGTAATAAAAATAATATAAATGCAATGACTTAACTTGGAATAAATCAATCATAAAATAAATTTGTCACGATACATAAAATAACTGCAATAGAATCAATCTGACTTATTTAATACTTACACCGAACAATTGACACAAAATAAATAATACTTGAAATCGACACAAAATAAATCATACTGAATGATACAAAATAGGTTACAAGGACTTGCTTGCTCTAATATTTATAGTGATCTGTACATAAAATAATTGTGAGTATTAATTTCATAGGTGAGCTTGTTCAAGACTTCGAGAGCTATGAGCTTTAATTTTTGTTTTTCTCTAAGTTTCTTGACAAACTGATTGTCCTCAATGGAATCGGTTGATTGCCTATTAGTAATTAATTTATCTACGGCACCTGATAGTTTGTCGATGTCTTTTTGGTAAGATAACAATTTGGTGCTTATGAGTTCAATTGAGTCCGTAATCCTACTTGTATAGTATGCTAATTCATTATGCTGTCTATTATTATTACTGTCTTTTGGATCCTTAATACAACTAGATGATGCCAAGGCTAATCTGCGACTACTACTGTCTAAATGAATAATTTCATCTGGGACAGCGTTAAGAATTTTGGAAATACATTTAGCCATGTTGCTGTGTTTAAGCTTATCGTATTTTTCAGGATCAGAGGGAAACATTTCAATCAATAATTTCAACATTGACGAAAAGTTTGCTGGCAGCTTTTGTCTGCTAGGATTTTCCCTATCAATGTTAATATTTTCTATTATTTCGCTTGACGTTATGATATCAGGTGTTAATAGTGGGCCCTGACCTAATAGTTTACGCAAATTGGAGAAATCTACCCCACCATTGACAAAAATGTTGCAAGCAAATTTCTGATAGATAGCAGCTTTGGTATTTAGAATTATCTCAATCGTTGATGTCAATATATTGTGGATTGGGAAATCAGGAAATAACTTTGATAAACATGGTGGGCATGATGACAGACAGTTTTCTGAGCGACATTCTCTAGAGGAAAAGAATTTAAGGTCGTTTTCCGAGGACAAACTCATATATCGTTCATTAGTATTGGAAACGACAAAATTTGAAATGCGATAAACGTGTCCTGCAAAGTCTTGGATGTTGGACGTTATAAATTCTTTGGTAAAAACAATGTCAGGAATAGGACTTCTTTGATGAAATGCAGTGATGGCAGAAGAAACTGTGCTACGATAAGTTTTGAAATTGTTTGCAGTTTTAAAGTATCTGGAGATTTCTTGACGTTTTAGGACATTAAGCAGGAAACTCTCTTGAAAGTGTTTTCGATTGGTAAAACTGTGAGCAGAGACCTTCAGTTGCCGAAAAATATCTTCCATGCGTCCGGCATGCACTGACAAAAAGTTAGTAAGTTCGAATGTTGGACCCATGTAGTAAACTATGCCGAGGAAGTAAATAGAATTAATAACTTTAAGAGCAGTAGGTATCGTAATCTGTATTTCTTTCAAAGTTTTAAACCATACAAAAATTATATTATGAAGCAGCAATGTGGAGGCACCTGACCGTTTAGACTCATCTTTGTATCCAAATATATGAATTTCTAGAAGTGCTCTGAAGTAAGTATAATAAAGGCATTTAGGACATTTGGTCACAATTGACAAAGTAAAAATATCCCCGCAAATATTACAGGACAACCCGTCTGGAAATAATTTCATTTCTAGTTTCTGGACAATTTCAATTAAATTCTTAAAAACTGACTCGCCAGATTTTTCGTGTTTTGATCCGTAATCAAAATTACAACAATTGGATATAATCTCATGTACTAATTTTAATGGTCCGTCACCTTGAGGTCCTGGAATGTGTTTGAATGATTTGAGGGTTTCGCCTCTGAGACCATGAAGACATTCATTTCCCAAAAGTTCAGCCCCTTCAAGACCAATTTCTTCAGGTGATTTATCAGGAGTAGCCATGAATAGAATAGGGGGTCGCCTTATACCCCCTAAGTCATTTTTCAAAAACTCTTTTATCTGTTCGCTATTCATATTATCAAGACGCTTATGTGGCCATCTTATTTTCATTAGTTCTAATGCTGAGGCGGGTTTATCTTTTAAATCTTGTAGCGATTTTCCGCGATTTTCAGGATTTTCGAAGAACCCACCTTTATTAGCATGTTTTGTAGTTTTGTCGAATGTCATGTGTTCAAATTTTACAATTTCGTAATATTCATAATGATCTATAGGGAAGCATTCTAATAAGGTAGGATTACGATACGGTCCACTCTTGTTTGAACCATTCTCAACACTCCTTACAGGCGCATCGCCATTCACAAATTTTAATCTGTCCGTGAATTCGATTCCGCAGTTTGTTTTAATTGTAACTTTAAAGGCAGCTAACTGGTTAGTTCTAAATTCTTGTAATGCCTCTTCGCTTTTGGTTGTCGAAGGAGACATAGCTATGTAATGGATGTAAATTTGCTCGACAGCTTTTTGTAAATCCCCTTCACATAGATCATTTGATTGGTAAAGGGACTTGCTGTATAAAGGCCAAACGACAAAAAGGATGTAACTTCTGTTTAAAATAACGGCGTGATCATACCACATTGCAAAGCTCCTTGTAGACTCAGCTTCTTCAAGTTTTTTTCTAAGAAAACTTTCGTCGTATTTTTGGAAGTCGCTCTCACAAATCAAACTATAACTCTTTAAGGTGCATTTCACCTCGTCAATCGACAAATTTTGGTAATGCTCTTTTGGTTTGGCCTTCAAGAAATTATTACCAGACTGGAAACTTAGGTAATGTTCTCTAATTGACATAAGGTCAACTAATCGTGAGTTAGCTGCTACCTGTTTAGGACATGATTTAACCAAATCCCAACCTTCATACAAAAGTGGTATCTGGGGAGTCCCCAGCAAAATTGATTGGAGTTCTCTTAGTATTTCAACTTTTTCATCAGCGACACTAGCTGGAGGAATTCTTGGGATATAAAGATCGTCAACTAGAGAGTGGGGCTTGTAGCGTGTCCGAGCATTACTGTGGACAGCAAGTATGGGTCTTAACTCACTGTAAATACCATGATTTCTCGGAAGTAAAAGGTAATTTAAGCAGACAGATTGTGCATAATCGGACAATCTTTTCCCTCCTTTAGGGCCAGTTAAACTATATTTTGTACCCAGTTTAAAGAAACTTGGTTCGAAATGGTACGTAAGGACGTGCGAACAGTATTCATTAAACAGGTCCCCAAGCTCAATATTTGGATCGGATGACTTAATGTGGCGATAATCTGGTAGATTAGACAGATGTTGCTCGATGTCTGTTTTAGAAAATTCAGTGCAAAATATAGTACGGTCTAAATTCTCGACCTGACTTCCTGAAAGACCACTGCCATAGTGGATAAGCGCACTAGCCTCGGTTAAATGATCATTGAATTTTGCAACATTGATGGTTAGTTCCGATTTGTACCGCTCAAATTCCACTTTTAATTCGCTCAAAGATATTTCGAAATTTTCGACACTTTTATCGTAGCTAGAAAGAATTTCGTAGGAAGTCCTGCAAATGCATTCATGGATTTCCTTAAAACTCTTTCCACGACCTAACTCGTTATTAGCAAATCCGGATAAAATTTTGTTGCATCTACTTTTCAAATTATCACCTCCGTCATTGTTTGACATATTAAAACAAACACTACAAGGGACGCCTTCTACTTGTGGCCTACTGTTTTCATGTGAAATGCGAATTTGATCACTCCTATAAGTCTGCTTAAGAGAATCTAAAACCTCTTTATTATCGGCGATACACTTGGCTTGACCAATAATTCGACGAAAATTTCGCGAATCCAAGTAATTACGAACGTAACCAAAATAATGGGGAAATTGATTCACATGGTCTTCTACGCGTCCGTCAAATTCTGACAATACAAAATGTGCCAAAATGTACTTACAGAAAGGAAGCTTTGAGTATCCAGATTTGACTAACGCAGAGTATACACAGTCGCTAAGAAATTGAACTTCTATTTCGGTACGTGATCGTTTGCTCATTGTGCTAATAAAAACTAATTACCACGAACGAGGAAAATACAAAATGTACGGAAATAGGAAAGAAAATGTTGAATATATATATTGCAAGCGAGCCCCAGAAACAATCCTAATTATAAAATGACATATCTATAGGTAAAAGTATCCAACGCGAAATAAGAGCGCAAATTAGTACAGAAACACATATCGGCGCGGCGTGAAGGGATTGTTATTAAAAAGTTGAAAATTCTGCTTTTGAACTGTAAAATCGGTTTTGTTGAACGAAAACTAAAAATTCAAAAATTCTTTTAAAGATTAAATTTTTACCATCATTATCCAATCATTGTGAATACATTTATGGCATTTTGTGGTCAAATTTAACTATTCTTGACAGAATTCCTATGCGCGCGCAATCTAAACATGAATTGTAATGGCTAAATACTTGACAGACACGCGCGGTGTCTACAGCTGTATCGAAACTATCATATTGGTGGCGCGCCCGCTGGCCGGTAACTTTTCCGGTAACCTAACCCGAGCCCTAAACAATCGAATTCATGTTTTACTAGCCTGTCACGTGACCAAAACGGTTTTTTTGCCCATAACTCTCCAGGGAAGCATTTTTACCCTACGTCATGGGGGCTGATTCGGAATCAGCGTCCAAAAATACACCGAATAAGATCAATTTCATCCCTAAAAGGCCTTTTCACAAGAATTTTCTTAAAATTTGGGCGAGCGATTTAGTAAGAGCGGCTTTTGTTAGGCCCGGTTCCTAATCGCTGTTGCATTTTCAGATAATCCAGAGTGCGACGGCTTCGACATAGAAAGGATAAACGTGAGGAGTATATCCCCCTATGCTTTCAGTTACACAGATGGTGATAAAGCAAGAATATATTGTAATATGAACTACTTCATTTCCTGGGGTACATCAATAAATGATGTCGAGGGAAACATTGAGTGTGACGCCGGTAATTTTGTTCCTGATCCCGCTGTAGGTGGTATCGGTACAGCTAGCTGTGTGGGTAAGTGCATTTGATAAAGACAATCCATGAAAGGGCCTTGAAAATATTGTTGTTTCCCATATACGATGAAGAATGAGTTGATGCTTCTGTTTTGGATTTCGACCTGAATCCTATTTAATATCCCCAACCGATTTTCACAAAGTTCTTTGATTCGTTATTTGTACGATATCTTTTAGAATTAGATTAATACTTTTTTGTTTGTTGAAGCTTACAGATTTTGAGAACTATGTTACATTTCAGTTGTCCTAGTTTGTTGGATATTAAATTTAAATTAAGATATTTTATAATATATTCTGATAAAAATTGTATCCTTCAGCCTGTGCTGATAATGTAGCGGACTGTGTAGGTGGAACATGCACAGAATACGGAGAGTGCCTATGTAACGATGGTTATGAGAAGTCTTACGATGATCCAAGACTGTGTACTATTATTCAGTGCGATGCGTTTGTTCTCTCCAATCAAGAAGCTAGTGCGGACGGACCGTATAATGTAGACGATGTGGTCACTGTCACGTGTACAGCTGGATATCATGTCCCAGGAGGACCTTACGATGTTAATGTACAAACTTTGATCTGTGGCAGTACAGGGTATTTTGACCCACTCCTTGAACCGTGTGTCGGTGAGTACAAAATGCTAAAAGTATAATATGTATATTTATAGTGTATACAACAATTAATATATGCTTTTAATTTGGTGAATGAAACTTTAGTATGTAGTAGTATCAATTTATTCGAAATTCGAATAGCATAAAATCGGTCACTCGTTTAAAAGTTATTTTATCTTCATTCAGTGTGTGCTGACGATAATGATTGTACTGATGGGACATGCAATAGTTACAATATATGTGAATGTGATGCAAGTGCAGGTTACAAGCTGGTAAGTATATTTTGAGAGACCCTGTGAAATGCAGAAGAGTCACCAAAAATGTCATTCTTAATTTTTGAGCTGTCCACACTGCGAAGATGTGCTGTCCAAAATTTGAGTTCAATAAATTCGCCCAATCATCAATTTACTATATAATTTTAGAGAGAAGATGATTTGAACGTCTGTGAGGAGGTTACTTGTCCTGAAAAATACTGCTCATATGGGGGCGAGTGTTCTGTTAGAGATATTGAACTGGTGTGTGACTGTCCACAAGGAACAGAAGGAGATACATGTGAACAATTTACCTCGTAAGTAAAGATTTATACATGGTGGTGATTGAAAATTGATATTCAGTATAATTCATGTTATTCAATAACCACCAAGTATTCATTTTATTGAATAGCGTTGATTATTGTAAATTTCGAGACTCACAATTTTTATTTCATTTAACTTCTAATAGTTGCAATCAATATTCGTAATATCTTTTGTTTTATATTTAAGTTTTGTAAACAGCAATTAACGATGTTTTTATTAAATTTCAGAACTCCCTGCGACCCAGATCCCTGTGAAAAGGGTGAAACATGTAGCCGTGTTATGACTGACCCTGCGGACTACACAAAACATGAGTGTACTACAGCTGCTTGTGAGGGTACTTTTAATGGGGACTGCTGCCAAGTTGTTATACAGTTTCATGATGGTGCAATATGTATGTTTTAGTTTCGGAACATGAACATATTCTTAGTTAATATATAGTTAGAAGGAGTAGAAACTCGTAGTATATAAAACTAGAAACGGGAAACCCGCTAGTCGAAAGTTTTATTTGAGGACATTTAAAATCAGTTATGTTCTAGTTTCTTTTCATCCTTAATGTAAAATGTTTGAGTTTTATTCGACAATTACAACGAAGAGAAAATAAGAGGTCTGGTAATTCAGGTTTAGATTAGCGCAATTGACGGTACAGGAGGTTTCATGATTCATCATTGAAATCAATAAAATTATAGTACTGCAAGATATCGGTTCGATCTTGACTGTGCCATACTGCCATTGGTGCAGTTTCTGTGAAAATCGATAAGGCTGTATTATATTGTATTTAGTTATGAAACTCTAATATCGTATGGTTAAAGTTTTTCAGTTTCAGACCTTTCCACTTAGTAATTCCTGATTATTAAAATCTGCCGAGATTTCCTGAACTCTAACTACAAATATTGGTGATTTAAGGCCCGTATTCACAAACCTTTAGGTCATACTTCATGCAGGGGGGGGGGGGGGGGGGCGGTTACCGGAGCCGATATCTTATCAGTTAATTGAACCTGTCAACCAGGTTAATAACTCTAGTTTTTACTCGTGTCTGATGTGATTTTAAATTATTATCCACTGGTTATGTAGGTTGCGTAGAAACGGAGGAAATTTTGCAGGGATTAAAACGTATGATGACTTGTATTAACTAGCAGGAACCCGTATAACCCCGTATAACAACACAATAGAGAACGTGGAAGATTTTACCTATCTTGGTTCTAGAATCAGAGACAGTGAGAGTGATATCAGGGTTAGGAAAGGAAGAGCATGGGGAGCATGCCGCACTCTCAAAAAACTTTGGAAATCTAACCTTAGAAAGTCTATCAAGACCAGAGTGTTCACAGCACTAGTCGAGTCGGTGCTTCTATACGGTTCCGAGACTTGGACTATGACGAAAAGGCTAGAGAAGATCGTTGATGGTTGCTATACAGTATACACGAATGTTAAGAATGGCCCTTAACATCAATCAATATCGAGACCATGTCATTAACCACAGCCTGTACGGTGATCTTCCCAAAGTCAGCTCCAAGATAACCCAACGAAGGCTCAAGGCTCAGACTTGCAGGTCATGCTCACCGACATCCGGAGCTGACACTGAACAAACTGATTCTCTGGAAGCCGAGTCATGGGCATAATAACAGGGGGCGACCTTACTTAACACTACTAGATAACCTAAAAGCAGATACTGGACTGAAATCAGTAGATGAGATAGCTAGACTGATGGAGGACAGAAAGCTGTGGAGAACTGTTGTCAATGGATTTCGGGAATACTACCCGCCTTAAGTCAAGTAAGTCAAGTATAACACTAAAAGTAAAATGGTGTCAAGACTCAAGAGACTAAAATAAATATTACCTATTTAATTCGCGTTTTTGACACCACTTGGGGGTCCAAATTTTGGGCTCTAAATCTTCTATTTCTTGGCCTATTTTTTATTTTTTCATGCTGATTTGAAGGCCATTAAAACATTTGACCCAGTCAAAAAATGTTCAATTGTATATCTTTTACGGTTTTTGCGGAAAGTCGCGTTAAAGTTGAGGCCGTGGTGTCAGTAAAATGGTACGGATCCATCCATATATATATATATATTTTTTTGATAGTTTGGATAATCGGATCAAGCTAAATGTTATTGAATTGTGTTTGGCCATTCGAATTACGTTTGCCCTGAAAGAATGAGAGTTCTAGCTTCTCAGATGACCGAGATATGAAGCATAACAAGCTTGTTCATTACGTGTGATCAGGTGATTGGTTTACCTAATCACGTGATAAGGTGACCCCGTTAACTACCCCGTTAAACATTATGGGAATTGTTAAGGGTGCCCAATTAAAGTGTCGTGTCACGGTGTCACATAATCACCCAGTCAATTTTGTTAACGAGATACAGAAAATGCTTGATAACTTCGTCATTTCTAATTCGTTTTGCCTCATGTTTTCAGATCATATGCAACATTTGATAATCTACCGTCTCTGAAAAAATTAGGCGTTCAGCATATTCAGAGAAAACAATATAGGTGTTTTAATATTGAATGGGCGTGGTCTAAAATATTCGAATTTTCAAATTTTGACGACGGAATCCTCGAACCAGTAAGTACAGTATGCCATCTGCAAAGCAACAGCTCTCAAATATAAAACTCAGCGGAGGTATAAGACCCAACGTTTGCACACTGACTTTTGGCCCACCCTGTATATATATATCGTCTCGCTTTATATATAGTAAGATAATTAGTTAAAATACTGATAATATTTAATGATTACACTCATTATAATTAGTTAAAATACTCATAATAATAATTAATGATAACCAAACAATAACATCTGTGTCTAGTAATACACTACACCAGAATCCACATCTATTATTAGTAAAATTCGGCATGCAATTGAACATACTTTTCAACATCATGTATACAAAATTTACTCATATAAAATAAATCCAATAATCAAAATAAATTCACTTATCAATTACATCATCAAAAAATATAATAAATTCAAGCTAAATAAAAATTGTTTGGTTATTGATAAGGCAAATAACCTATATACTTATAGTACAAAAGTCAGTGGGCATACGTTGGCCTTAATAGCTCAGTCACTGAGTGACTGAGTGCCTAGTTGAAATAATTCTTTCTGGTATGACTTACTACCATCACTGGTTCGAGGAATTTGTCAAATCGAAAAATATTCGAGTTCATTTTTTTCATTTTTGCATTTATTTGATAGTTTTGATAGTCGGATCGAGCTAAATTTTATTGAATTGTATTTGGCCATTCGAATTACGTTTGTCCTGAAAAAATTAGAACTGTAGCTTCTCAGATGACCGAGATATGAAGCATAACGAGTTTATTCATCGTCGTGGGGTGAGCGTCGTCGACGTTCAGCTAAGGATCATGAGTGGTCTATGCAGCCCCCCGGTCTACTCAGCCGAATACTCGAGAAATCGGGTGTGAGGGTTAAATGAGAAGCTGCACATTGCAGCAAAGTCTCGGACGAAGAAAGTATGGTACACACTACCTTAACCGTCACTGGCCAAAAAGATCCTTCGGCTTCCTGTAATTGGCTGGTTGCACTTGTGTAACATTGTGGCTGTTGGAATACACCGAAGTAAAATAAGTGTCTAGATTAAAAAATTTAAAAAAAAACGTGTGATCAGGTGATTGGTTTACCTAATCACGTGATTAAGTAAACCAAGATTAAGTGACCCCGTTAAACATTATGCGAATTGTTAAGGGTGCCCAATTAAAGTGTCGTGTCACGGTGTCACATAATCACCCAGTCAATTTTGTTAACGAGATACAGAAAATGCTTGATAACTTCGTCATTTCTAATTCGTTTTGCCTCATGTTTTCAGATCATATGCAACATTTAATAATCTACCGTATCTGAAAACATTAGGCGTTCAGCATATTCAGAGAAAACAATATAGGTGTTTTGATATTGAATGGGCGTGGTCTAAAATATTCGAATTTTCAAATTTTGACGACGGAATCCTTGAACCAGTAAGTACAGTATGCCATCTGCAAAGCAACAGCTCTCAAATATAAAACACGGCGGAGCTATTAAGGCCAACGTATGCCCACTGACTTTTGGCCCACCCTGATATATGCACGCAAATAACCTAAAATATGCAGGTTTAAATCAATAAATCACTTTTTGCAATGATTGTGCGTCTAAAATAAATTCAAGCTAAGCTGTAAGTAAAAATAGTTAGGCTATTGATAACGCAAATAACGATATGCAGGTTTGAATCAATAAATTACTTTTTGTTGCAATGATTTTGCGGCTAAATATCATCGCATACACATGATTAAAACATATGACACTGAATCTCATCCTTTTTGAGTCCAATCAACAATTTGTTTCATATAGTATAGTTTCATGATATAATTTGAGCTGTTGATGAGGAACTAAAGGCTTCTCGCCGATTTCATTCAGATCCTCCTCAACAATTTGTTTCGTAAATAGATCTTGTCAGAGAACCTGATTGTAGCAAGTCCTGATATTTTGAATTCCTCAGAGAAGCGCACTGTATACTCAGTCCCTGACTCTATTGTTTCAGTTTCTGGGATGACTTTTCCGTTTTTTGTATCGGCAGTTTGTCACAAGGATTCTCAGTGCAGGTAGGCAATGATGATAGTTGCCCAATAGTGGGATCCAGATGAAGTAAATCCCTGTTTAGTTTTACAAATTACTTCATAGTTTGATCCGGAGTTTATAGTTCCTAATACAGGACGTCCATTGTTCCGTTTTGTACACTTGGTTTTACTACTTTATTTACTACGAGACGCTGAAACGGATACACAATGTTTTTCATTAATTTGAATCAGTAAAGCTCCAATAATATGTTTAATTCTCTTGATTTTAATTACATAATCCTTGCTATGACCGTATTAAGCAATGCAGTGAGTGGCAGAAAGTGGTTATGCACAGCTATTTCCCTGGTGGTCAATCCGACCACAAATGACGATGCTGCATTTAAAATGTCTCATCTGTTCTGGTTCCTAAAGGAGAAGTTTGGTGGCAGAGAACTTCAGTCAGGGAAATTAAATTTTGCCGTGGCCGTATTGACGAATCGCTTCGTAAACCAGAAATTTATGACTTGTTCTGGCTTTAACAAAGACAGCAAAAAAAAGAGTGCACCTGCAAAAATTGGGCGGAATAGAAATTCTATACGTAAACCGTAGTCAGATGGCCGATAAAGAAACACGGGTAGGTAAAACACCTGTACCCTGGATTATTGTCTGAAATAGATCTTAAGTAGTCAGACGAAAAAAGTATTAGATCATAAGCCTGTTTCAATAGCCGGACTCATAACAACAATGGGTGAGTGAATTTGTAAAGCCGGCATGTGCAGCTCCACTATACTTTTTTTCTAACTTGCTCGACTGGAACAAGATTGAAAGGGTTTTCATTAGCTCTAAGAATTGCACGTGCTAGAGCATTATTCTAGAAACGAAGCGGAAAACAGCTTTAATTTAACGGGCTGGTGCCTCTAAAACCATTTCCATTTTATTCAACAGTACCAGTTTTCAAACTTTTTCTCTATCTCAATAGACAGGGCGACATTATGCTGATAATAGTGGCA